TCAAGGTATTTCTTGTTTTTGCTTTTTTTCTTTTTGTGCCCTGCCATTAGATAACTAGATTCAATGGAAACAAAGCCATCTTTTTCTTTTATTACAAATTTTACTAAGTCCATAATATTGAATTAATACAGTGGATATTAACTAACCAAGGACAGGTTTGTTTTAATTGAGTTAACCCCCCAGTGTATATCCCCATATTTACATTGGCTCTATCAGCTGTTGCAGAAATCAACTTTGTTTGGTAATCAATAATCGATAAAGGAATTTTACATTTTGTAAAGTTGTTTTTGATAAAAACACTGTCTAATGCTATTTTTAAAGAATCAGCATTTCCCCCTCCAAAATTCACCATATTGCATAACCCAACAAAAAATAAAATGGATCACTAGAATGCTGTATTCGAACTAGTATCGCTTCTTTGTCACTGCCTGTTTTTTGAGCTTGACTTCCATTTGAAAGCAAAGACATAAATGGTTTCTTAGCAATAATAGCCGCTATTTTCTCTATTTTTTTCTGGGCAATGCAACGTTTCAATTTTCTGGCTAGAAAAAATAGAGAAAATTAAAAAATAAAGTATTTTATCTTTATTAAAAATTTATTTTTGCACTGTTATTATATATATATATATATATATATATATATATATATATATATATATATATATATATATATATATATATATATATATATATATATATATATATATATATATATATATATATATATATATATATATATATATATATATATATATATATATATATATATATATATATATAATACATGCATTCTTGTTGCTTCTGCTTTGCAATAGTTTGACCCCATTGTCACATTATGCCTGAATAAGAACTTTAAAATTACTATGTGGCTTAGCTGGATTCAAAGCTAATACATAAGCCATACACATTAACTTTAAATAGGCTTCAGTGACATCTTCAGTTATTGAAATCGAAATGATATTAGTTTTTTGTCACTTTGAAGGAGATTGAGCAAGTTCTTCTAATCGCACTGCCTCCTTATGTGATACTGTTGAAAAAAATGTCTCTTAACCTATAATATAAATAAAACAAATTGCACAACATTTTGAAGGTATACATTTTAGATTTATTATGTCTTAAATACATCAAATATATTACAAATCCCTTTTGTTTCATACTCTTATAATTTATATATTATCAAATATATATATCAACAAATTATACCTGATGACGTGTTACAACATTAGTTCCTTTTGTAAAAGTGTTAATAGATTTTTTTGTACATCCAAATAAGGGAGATTGCCATGATTCATATTTTTATGTTTAGAATATAATTCACATTTTATTTTCACGACAGGGTCAACACCATTAACATTTATGATTTCATAACCAAGAAAATTATAATTTCACAATAAAACTGTTTGTAATGATTTTGTAATAGCTTTTGTACTCATTTCTTATCTCTCGCCATTTTTTTCAATGATTGCCTTTTATAACATTGCAATAAAGTACATAAGAAATTTTGTAGCAATTTAACTGCAATGATGGAATCAAATAATTTATGAATAGCCTAGTTTGTTTTAAAAAGGTATTGACACAATTGGAAGCTTGAATGAAATTGTTTCCTTAAGTTTGTCTAATTTTCAATGTAATACAGAATAAAATGCAAAATAAAAATTGCTTAAAAATTTGATTAGCATTAATGACTTACTTTTTATTATTTTTATATTTTATTTCTTTAAAAATTTGTTACACTACAAATATATAAATAGATTAAACAAAATTTTAGACATTATTTGTTTCGTTTGTTGGCTTGCATCTATCGAATATTGTTGCTGAAAAAAGCACCCTAAATATAAGAAAAGAAAAAAACTGCAAGAATTATGCAAAAAATTTTAATATAATCGCATAAGCAAATCATTTTTTAACTAATCCAATAACATTTTATAAAATTTAAAATTGCAACCTATTTTGCTTACATTTTCAAATGTCGTGCTCTGTTAAATTTATAGATTTCTAAAAAAATAATTGAGCGGGGGCGGAAGCCCTGATGGCCTTCCCCACTCTCTTTAGATTCCCCTTGCATTAACCTATTTATTTATGGGATAGAATGATAAAGATTGAAAGAACTGTGAAATATAATTTTTCAATTTTTCGCTTAAAATTATGTTTACATTAAATAATAAATGTTTTCATTCTTTAAGATTTTAGTTTTTTTATATATATATATATATATATATATATATATATATATATATATATATATATATATATATATATATATATATATATATATATATATATATTGATTTCAATAAAAAAAGGCAGCACATAACTATCTTTTTAAATATATTTTGATATAATAATATTTTAACGATATTTTGCTAATACCTATCTCTTGTCAAACTCTTACTTTTTTTATCTCCAGGGATTTTCTATCTTTTCTCATCCTGTATTCTGGATTGACTGCCAAGATCTTAGGATTTAGCCAATCAAAAGTACCACAGCATGTTCTAGAATGTTCTGTGGCTCCTGAACTCTACCATTTTTGATTTTTACAGGCTCTTTGATGTTCCGCACTTCTTGAAAGAATTTTCTTTTTGGTCTCACCAAAATAGATACTTCCCCATGAGCATTTAAGCTTGTAAAAACCCGGATTTGAGTTCGGTGGTAGTTTTATTTGTTATTGCATAGTATGTTATTTAAATTGGGAGCTTAAGTAAATATAACTCTTATGTTTTTTTTCTAAATTCTCTTAGGAGTTTAGGGCCATAATTGGGTATCTAAGGTAGTTTAACAAACTGCATATCTAATTGTTTAGATGTAGTATTTTTTTAAACGCGATCTAAATAGTTTTTGGTGAGGAAATCAATTTCTTTTGACAGATGTTTTTGAGAGCAGATTTGTTTTGCTCTAAATAGAAATCCTTCAAAGACGCCAGCGATTATGCTTGGGTTGATGTTAGAATTTGGTTTTATTTGAACATTGGTTATCGCATCCTTACGATGTACTTAAAATTTATAAAATCTGTTCATTGTATTTGTAATAGAAATATCTAATAAGTTAAGTTGTTTTCTTTTGTTTTCAAGTTCAATAGTATGTTCCATAGAGAGGATTTATTCATTTAAAGTTTTAAGAAACAGATCTTGTTTTTCTTTCAAATTGAAGTGAACATGGGTATCATCTACATATCTTTTGTAAGTTTTTGGTCAGAATGAATTAACAAAGACTATATTAAGGGTTATTTTACTATATGCTTCAGCTATGATTACCATCAACAAATCCAAAAATGCTTTAGCTATGATTACCACCAACAATAAATCAATTGGACCTGAATTAGGTATAATTCGGATTTTATCTTCATAAAAAAATAACACTTGCTAAATGAAAGTTTAATTAATTGGTGTATATCTAAAAGAATTAATTTAGTTCTAGTTTTTTAATCTTCCAAATCATCGTTCAATATTTCAACGATAACCGGTATTGCTGCATCAATCGATACGGATGGATATAAATTAATTACATGGAAAGAAACCTTTTTTTAGGGCCTATCTTCCATTCTTTAGCATCGTTGACAAAACTACTTGAGTTAATTAGTTGAGTTATATTTTTATTTAATGTTGGTTGAATAACTTTAACCAAATACTCTGATGTTCCATAAGGTGGTGTGTTAATAGTGGAAACATCAGGACCCATTGGGTAGTTTTTATCTGGTTTGTGAGCTTTAACCACTCCACAGATTCTAGGTGGAATGCAATCCGATGGATTCATTTTAAAGCAAGTGGCATAGTCAAACTTTGGACCAAGATTAAATAGTTCAACAGTTGCTTTATCCAGATTAATATTTGTTAAATTAAGTATAGTTGGTTTAAAAATTCGATTAGGAAGATTTTTTTTCAAAATTGATTTTATAATTGATATTATTTTGCAATTTATAGTATTTTTCTTTCATTTAATTTTTTTTAAAAAATAATAGTAATTCTTAGATTTGCTCATTATATTATTAATTAACTCATAATCATTAGATCAAATTTGTGATCACCGGAACACCAAAGAGCCTGTAAGAATCAAAAATGATCGAGTTCAGGAGCCACAGAACACTCTAGAACATCCTGTGGTACTTTTGATTGGCTGAATTTTAAGACCTTGGCAGTCATTCCAGAATACAGGATGAGAAAAGATAGAGAATCCCTGGAGATAAATAAACCAAGAGTTCGACACGAGATAGGTATTGGGCAAACTGTTCTAAATAGAGGTGACGAGGAGAATGCAAAAAAAAAAACTTGGGGACCAATTTTGACAAAAATTTAAATGACGTCACTATTATATTATTTGATTGGTTTTTTTATTTTAAGCTTTTTAATGTCTTCTTTTTTAAACAGTTAGTTTAATGTTATTTTGTAACGTATTTTTCATTACCTGATGATGCTGACCACAATAGTTCAATCTTTAAAAGTCATTTCTTGTTATATGATATGTTTATAAATATATAAATTGATTTTAATAAAAAAGGCAGTGTATAACTAATTTTTAAATATATTTTGATATAATAATATATTAATGATATATATATATATATGATATATATATATATATATATATATATTATATATATATATATATATATATATATATATATATATATATATATATATATATATATATATATGTAATAAATTTAAGTACTTGGAGATATTACACTAATCAATTTAAGTACTTGGAGTTATTTACTAATCAATTCTTGGAGTTATTATACATTTTGATACAGTATAATTATTTGATTGGTATAATTTATGACATTATAAAACTTGTGATGTTTATCAGATAAATTTAGGATATTAGGTTCATAAACTATTTAACCATATAAATTTTATAATACATATCAAATGGATAAATCTATAATTCGTACACATAAAAAATGTTACATATAAACAAACTTATTATGTTTTGCAAAAGCATATCTTGATTCATTTTAAGTTGTAGGAAATAAAAACAAACTAATACAAAATTAAATATACATACATCATTAAAAGCACAGAAGAAAGCATTTCTTTAGTAACAAGTAAGTGATGTATGTAGGCTCTTGTATACTGAATACAACAATAGCATGAACAACCTTCTACTAGTGCTTGAAGATCATCAAAATATCTTAAAAGTATAACAAAAAAAACATTTAAATATACATAATATATTTTAATCTTTTTCAAGATTAAAACATATATAAACAACCTACATCTTGTTATTGGCACACCTGTAAATAAATATAGCAAAGTACCTTTTATATTTATTATCATTTATTAGCTACAATTAAAATCGCAAATACTTTTAAAAAAAGACAAAGTTATTTTTAAAAGTTTTTATTTTTATTTAAAAAAAAAAAGCAACAAAACTTAAAAAAGACAACATTACAACCTAACAATTTTTTTGATTTTTATGATTTCAAAACTGAATTATTCTTTTTATGATTTCAAAACTGAATTATTCTTTTTAGGCAATAAAGAGTATTTTTCTGATTTAATGCTTCATACAATCAAAATAAGAGATCTTAATTCTTATTTCACTGTTGCTACGATTACATAAATAACAAGTCAGGTTTTCCATTGTAAATGATTTTGACCAATTATGCAAGCATAAAAATCTCGAACAACTAGATAACTCTGATGTAAAAATGTCATTGGTTTGATAGGATTGTTGGGTTTATTTGAAGATTTAAATTTTTGTTAAAGTTTTTTGAAGACGAAAATTTTACCAAACTTTTAAAATCAAGAACTCTGAATAATGTAAAAAATGTTTTGATTTAAAATTTTGTAATTTTTTGTTTGGTTGAAGCAGCTACAGCTGTCTCTGCTGTAAAGGAATACGTATTCTTAAAAGTCAAGAAAAAAGAATTTAGTTTGAATTTATAATAATTTCATCAAGTTTGTAGGATAAATACTTCTTGATCCTACATGAAGGGATTTAAAAACATTTCTTCACAAATTGAATGACAATTATGTAAAAAAACTTTTACAAAAGTTTAAATGACAATTATGTTTGATATAAACGCTATTGACAAATGAAATAAATTGAGATAAGATTAAAATGAAAAAAAAAATTATTAGACCTTAATTGTAATTTCTATTAGACTAACCTTAATTGAAATTTCTATTAGACTAACCTTAATTGAAATTTGTATTAGACTAACCTTAATTGAAATTTCTATTAGACTAACCTTAATTGTAATTTCTATTAGACTAACCTTATTTTGAAATTTCTATTAGACTAACCTTAATTGTAATTTCTATTAGACTAACCTTAATTGAAATTTCTATTAGACTAACCTTGATTGAAATTTGTATTAGACTAACCTTAATTGAAATTTATATTAGACTAACCTAAATTGTAATTTCTATTAGATTAACTTTAATTGAAATTTCTATTAGACTAACCTTAATTGTAATTTCTATTAGACTAACCCTAATTGAAATTTCTATTAGACTAACCTTAATTGAAATTTCTATTAGACTAACCTTAATTGTAATTTCTATTAGGCTAACCTTAATTGAAATTTCTATTAGACTAACCTTAATTGTAATTTCTATTAGGCCAACCTTAATTGTAATTTCTATTAGACTAACCTTAATTGAAATTTCTATTAGGCTAACCTTAATAGAAAACAAATTTGTTGGTAGTTGTGGTTTTTTTTTTTAACATAAAAAGTTATTAAACAAACTGTAAAAAAGAAAATGTTAAAGAAATATTTATAATAAAAACTTTATTTATCTCGCAAGCAGAAGAATATTTATTTATTTAATCTTTTATGACAATAAAAAGATGAATTGAAATATAAAAAAAAATGTAATTTTTAATTTTATTATTTAATATTAAAAAAGATTGAAACTAAATAAACATTTAAAAAAAAAATAAGTAACAATTACCAAAAGTATATAACAATGTGACTCTTTCTACTATCTTTTGGAGAGGACACAGTTTAAAAGTTATAAGGCCAGCTGATTTGAGTTTTTTAAAACAAAAAAAGATTTCCAAAGCTCAATGAGTGTACTCCGAAATGTTCCATAAACAGTTTTAAAATAACAACTTTATTACATAATAGTAATTAACATTAAAAGTAATATTTAGCTTTAGTGTGACTGTGGTTTAGACTGCATTAGAAGTAATTTGTTAAAGCCTTATTCTGTCTTAAGGAATTGCTCATTATTTAAGTTTGATCATTATTTAAGATTGATTTGAACTTTAAACAGATAATAGTACCAAATTTGAACTTTAAATTGATAATAGTACCAAATTTGAACTTTAAATTGATAATAATACCAAATTTAAACTTTAAACTGATACCAAATTTAAACTTGTAAAAATCATTATTGCCGTCATTTAATGGTTTAAAAGTATAATTAACCAATATTCATTTTTTTTAATTATAAAAACAACCCGAAAACTCATTTTTTTTAAGAAAATATTGAGTGGTTTGGGTTAAGTACTTATACCAAGTTTAAGGTAAGGTTAACATTAATTTAAGTACAGGTAAGTACAACCAAGTTTAAGTACAGGTAAGATTAAAATTAATTAAGTTCAAATCTGATTTTAATTAGTGGTTTACCACAAAAAAAGACTTTACATTTAAGTAACAATTAATCTAATTAGCTATGAAAGTTTGTTATATGCAATTCTTTAAAAAGAACTTTGATAGAGTTGTGACTTGATTTGATTTGCTTTTTTTTTTTAAATTACAAAGAATTTTACTAAGAAATAAAGGAGGTCCTTTTGCCTTGAGGAGGTGAATTGCATTAAAAAAAAAAAAAAATTAATGCAATTCACCTCTTTAAGGCAAAAGGAGCCACACCATTAAAGAAGCTACTTTTTTTGTCAATTGGTTTCAAATGATTACCATGGTTACAACCCTCCCTTAACTCTTTAACTTCAAATCATGAGCTTTCAGGTTGCTATGCAAAGAAACAAGGTTGCTATGTGAAGAAACAAGTTGAGTGCAGTACTACTAGGGACGTAGTGGGGTTCAAACTCTGAATTTTATATTTATGAAGCAAGCGCTCTACCACTACCGCATTTTATAAAGTGCAGTGTATTCTTGTATTTTATAAAGTGCTGTTCTTATATTTTATAAAGTGTTGTGTGTTCTTGTATTTTATAAAGTGTTGTGTGTTCTTGTATTTTATAAAGTGTTGTGTGTTCTTGTAATTTATAAAGTGTTGTGTGTTCTTGTATTTTATAAAGTGTTGTGTGTTCTTGTATCAGGCCTAAAATTTTAATTTAAAATCTGAATAATCAGATTTTATCATAAGAAATGCGAGCCAAAGTTTAATAATAATAAATATAAATATATTTTAAAAAAAAAGCTGAAATTATTTTTAAAAAAATGATCTAGTGGTAGAGCAAGAAGTTCTGAGTTGGATCCCCACCACACTCCTGGTAGTACCATGCTCAACTTCTTTCTCTGCGAAGCAGCCTTGTTTATCAAGGTTTGTGTTTCAGAGTTATAGAGTTGAGAGAGGGTTGTAACTACAACTAATAAGCTTTACTTTTCTCTAACTTGAACTTATTAATTTTTCCAACTTAACTAAATTTATTATTTAATTAATTCAAAATTTTTTCTTTTAATGTAATTTTCTGAGTTCTTTTTTTTAATAACTTAGAATTTCTCTGAGCAGAGTTTTGTTTTGAAATGTTTTGTTTAATTACAAAGTATAATGATGCAACATTGTATTTTCTTCAATGACAAAATATTATGATGCTATAGCACATTTTCTTCTATTATCTTATATTTAATTTATTATTAACACAATTTGTCAATATCTTTAATTTGCTAACATTGCAATATAAGTTTATTAAATCAAAACAAAATGAGAAAAAAAATCTAATAAATTATTTTTTGTGATACATCTTCACGTCTCTTGTATGGTTCCACGTCTCTTGTATGATTCCACCTCTCTTGTATGGTTCAGTCACCTCAACTAAAGACAAAGCTGAATTGTTTGCTAAGAACTTTTCATCAATATCATCTCTTGATTCCACTAGTTGCGTTCTACCTGATATAGTCGTCAAATAGGTTGATCCATTGCTTGACATTCGTATCACTCCAGCTTCTGTATCTAAAATGATTTCCTGGTTAGAGGAAATCTAAATCTACTTCTACAGCTTATGGCCCGGACATTATACCATTTATAGTCTTGCAGAAATGTTCCCTGGAGCTGTTGTCTATACTTTCAAAACTATTCAACAAGTGCTAATCAGAGTCTTGTTTTCCAGCCTGCTGGAAAGTAGCAGCTGTTTCCATATTTTCAAAAATTCTGGAAAGCGATCTGATTCGCCCAACTACCATCCCACTAGTCTTTTTCCTATCATAAGAAAAGTTTTTGAATCTTTAATTAACAAACATTTAATCTCTCATCTTAAATCTAATAACTTACTTTCTGAAAATTAATATGGATCTTCTCATTCTACGGCTGATTTCCTAACAGTAATAACCAATAGGTTTTATCATGCTTTAGATAAAGGTGGAGAGGTTTAGGCCATTGCTCTTGACATTTCTAAAGCTTTTAATAAAGTTTGGCATGCTGGTCTTCTCCAAAAGCTTTCTTCTTACAGTGTATATGGAAATATCTTTAAGATTATTGAATTTTTCATTACCAATTTTAGTAAAAAGGTTGTCCTCAAAAAAACAGTTCTTATCTTTATATCGTGTAACTTCAGGGTTTTCTCATGGTTCTATCCTTGGAAATATACTCTATTTAATTACCTTAACAATCTTTCTGAAGTTTTCACATCTAAGGTGGCATTGTTCCCTGATGATACTACAATTTATTTATGTCTTAATTAGAAGACAACAATCTCTGATTGCTTAGAGGGGACATTTGAACTTGAAAAGGATCTCACTTCTGATACAGCATGGGAGTTACAGTGGCTGGTGAACTTTAACTCAGATAAAACTCAACTTTTTTAGGTATTGTTATCACAATAATCTAGATCTTCCTATATTTATGAAGGGTAATGTACTCAATGAGTCATCTACCCTTCATCTTCTAGGATAAACTCTTACTTCCGATCTTTCTTGGAAACCATATATCAAATCAGTTGCAAAATTAGGATCTGCTAAGGTTGCATCGTTTTATCAAGCTCGATACTTTCTTATTTTGGATTCTATTCTCTATCTCTATAAATCTCAAATCCAGGCTTGTATGGAATACTGTTGCCATATCTGGGGGCGAATCTTCTAATGATGCCCTTTCTCTTTTAGACAAGCTGCAAAAACGTATTGTAAACATAGTTGAACCTGCTCTTGCAGCTAACGTTCAACCATTATCACATCATCATAATGTTGCTTCTCTTTCTCCTTTCTACAAATACTATAATGGGCACTGCTCTAAAGAGCTAGTGTCTCTTGCGCCATTTACTAAAATTCATTTGTGTTACTCACCATTATATTAAGTCTTTTTCTGTGACTGTTCCTAAGTGCTCCAAAAACTCTTATTCGTCTAGTTTTTTTCCTCAAACATCAGTTCTTTGGAATTCGCTTCCTCCATCTTGCTTTCCTGACTCATAATTTGTAACAGGGATGCGGAGTCTCAAAAGGACTCTGGCTTTATATCTCTACTTTTTCAAAGTCTGTAGTGTCCAGAAGTTCCAAACATGTTTGTTGACTTATGATCTGATATAAGAAAAAATTTCATAAGTATTAATGACTTTAAACTTATTGTTTTTAAGCCCGGAGTCCTGGGGTCCTAGAGTCCTTGCCGCCATTTTACCTAAGGACTCTGGGTTCAAAAAATGTTTGTTTCTCTAAATTAAAAGTCTTAATTTTTTTCCTATTAGTAGTCCATAAACTTATTTATAGAGTTAGAGTCCTGGATACCAAAAACTAGGATAAAGTAATCTTTTTGTGACTTTCAAATCTGAAGTTTTTTTTAGGACTCTGCATCTCTGATTTGCAATCTTATAACTTGTCTGTCAATTATCATCTTGTTCTACAATCTTCATCTTTTCTCTTCCAGTAACTTCCAACTCTAATTAGTAGTTGCTTGCAGCCTTGTTGGAAGCAAAGACGTTTTAAAAAAAAAAAGCTTAAGGATCGCATTTATACAAAATGTTAGGCAAATCATATTTTGAAATTCAGGTAAATTCAGGTAAATAAAAATTCAGGTCTCTACAATAAGTAGAAGGTGCTTAAAGAAACCTCTGAAACTATTAGTATTTTAAACTGCTAGTTTATAAACTTTTTATTTACACAAGAATTTACTTATTAATAAAATTTAATTGAATAAATAATATTTAAAAATGAAAAAAATAAATGAGTACCGAAAATTTTAAATAAAAAAAATTATAACAGCAAAAACTTTAAAAAGATAAAAAATAAAACATTGTATAATTTTTAGTAAAAACATATTTTTTTAATATTTTAAAATGAGCTTTTCTTGTGTATTATTTGGTTTAGAATAATATAACCCCAACAATTTATTTTAAAAAGTCAAAATTGAATAAAGTTATGCAAATAAAAACTAGTTAAAAATTTACTAAAAAATTGATTTTCCAAAAAAGTATACTTTTTTTATTTTAATGGATCAATATTGAACAACAAACTTTGAATACTTTTTTTACAGAATTAAATAGATTAACCATAAAATACTTTTTTTTTTTTACAAAAAATAAACCTGCTCTCATGCAAATCCATTTCAAAATCTTCCATGTTTTTACCACACTTTGCAATATGATTGTTTGTTTTAAATTCAACTCCATTGTTATTATGGTAACAACCATTAGAATTAGAAAATGAATGGCTTCTCTCAGCATACTTTTTCTTTGTGTTATATTTAAAAGATAATGCACATCCACGATCAGTGCAATCATAAGCAATACTTAGTATTTAGTTAAGACAATATATAAAATTTTAACTATGCAATTATTTTCTATAAATGAGCAATGATTTTCTATAAAAACAAATTAAATTTGTATAAAAACTATGAAGCAATAAAATTCAGTATGAGAAAATGATTTTCTATAAAAACAAATTAAATGGTAAATTATTCACCAATCTTATAGTACATAATTCATTTACATTTTGAATATAAATCTGGAAAAAACATAAAGTTAAAAGAACCTTTGGCATTAATGAAACAAAAGATACACAGAGTCAAATACATCTACTCCAAGTTCTATTGCATTTATGACTTCATCTAAAGATTTTAAGAACTGTTAAAAAAAAATCAAATTTTTATTAAAAAAAATAACAATAGTTACTAAACTATAATACCTGGAGTAAGAATACCAAACATAAACTTCACCTTGTCTTTTGGTAAAAAATTCTATTAAAAATATTTATTAAACTTAATAACAACATTTAAAGTTAAATGTAATTAGGAATAAATACTTACTGTACAAAAATGTAGCAACTCTTTATAGTTAGGAAGATAATAATTAAATCCAGACAAAACAAACCCTAAAAAAGCAAATGAGTTATAAAAGATTATACTAACTGCAATAAGATGCAATATATATATATATATATATATATATATATATATATATATATATATATATATATATATATATATATATATATATATAATGGTTATATATATATATATATATATATATATATATATATATATATATATATATATATATATATATATATATATATATATATATATATATATATAACCATTTTAAATAAAATACATGTTTTTGCCACATAAAATTGGATACATCAATTAATTGTAAAAATCATTATTAGAGACCAGGCGGATATCCATGGATTGTTAACCAAATTTATATTGATAATATACATATTGAACAATGTATTTCAAGTCTCAAGTTACTGGACCACTTTGAACCACAAAAATATTTGACTATATAAATGAAATTTTAAATGAAAAAAGTACTTTAAATCGTCATTTAAAATCCTTTCATTTGACATAACTTACGTGCAAAATAGTGTTGCAATAGCTCATTTGAAAATTTGAAGATTTTATTAAATCATGCAATAAAAAGTTTTAAAATTTACAACTACTTTATGCTTATTAGTAAAACAAAAAATATTATCGAATAAAAAAAAAAACATTCAAGAAACTTTTTTTTAAAAAAAAAAACTCTTTATTCTACAAATTAGAAGCATACGTCATGATGCAAAAATATATACATTTTATAAAAGCTGAATGTTTTAAGTATAAAATATATTATAATAATATAATAATAATTTTGAGAATGTATTTTTTCTACTTTAGTCCACCACCTAACCCACTGTGCATATATATATACATATATATATATATATATATATATATATATATATATATATATATATATATATATATATATATATATATATATATATATATATATATATATATATATATATATATATCAACTTGTTTCTCCGTGCAGCGGCCTTGTTCGTCAAGGTTTGTGTTTCGAAGTTATAGAGTTGAGAGGTAAATAACCACTATTAAGTAACCTCCTCATCTGCAGTGGCCTTCTTAGCCTTGAGGAGGTGAATAACAAAAAAAATATATATATATATCAGGCTTTCCATGAAAGGCGTGCGGTCGCACGCCTAATTTGTCCACGCATAGAATAAATTTTTCTGACTAACTGACCACGTTTTATTATTATGCGTTTCAAGAATTCGCGCCAAAACAAAGCTAAATGAAAATACAAGCAATGCTAAAGTAAATAACAGAAATCTGCTTGTGCTTTAAAATTAAAAAAATAATGAATATTAATAAAACAAAGGTTTACCTATATTTCATTTATTTATTTTTTTCTCGTTTTTTAGGGTAGTAGTTATTTCAACTATGAAAAATTAAATCAATACAAATCAAGGAAAAAGAAAAAGATTATTTTTTATATAAATTTAATGAAAATAAAAGGACCTTTTAATGTAAAATTTGTTTATGACTTTTATCAGTCAGTAATACTTTTAAATTCACGCTAGAACTATAAACAATTTTTAAATTTTTGTTTTTAAATGTTTCGTAAATACATTTAAATGTTTAAATATATTGATACGTAAGAGAGCGCGAAAACGATTGCTATTTATTTGTAAAATTAGTTTTTTTTTTATTTTCAAATGAAAGAAAATTTTATAGTCAAACGATTGAGTTGCTTATTTTGCAATCATTAATTGGCATTGTGAACGAGTGTTAAAAATAAATGTCCCGAAGGAACTGTTTTTGTAACAGTGACTACAGAAGCAATGCAATTATTTCTTTAACTTCTTTTGTAATTACAAAATTATGCAATTGAATAATTTCAACGTAATAAAAGGCGAGCATTGACTAAGTATAATCAGGTTAGAATAAGTTGGGAGAGAACTTTTTTGCACATTAAAATCTTTAATAACATTTTAAAACAGTTTAAAATCTCAAATAACATATTTAATAATAAACAGCAATTTATTTTCTTGTCTAAGTATTGGGGAATAACGTCATCGCATTTGCATAAACCTTCGTAAAAACTAAATTAAATGAAAAAGTTTAACCAAATTTGTCTAGCATAAATAATGAATCAGTTTTTTATTATATTGTCTGATGAAGTTCGTGAATAAATTTTTTTATTTTCGTGAAATTTTTATGACTTAAAGTTGTCTTTTCCTTGACTTGTATCAAATTTCGTAGCTGAATATAGCAACCCTAAAAAAAGAAAACAAAAACAGTATAAAAAGACTTTTTTTTTTTTTTTGTTACAATAATTTTTTTTTTGTTAATTTTTTTTTTATTGTTAAAATATTTTTCTTACATCTAATTTCAATTTTATACTTTGTGTTAAGTTTTTGTTTCCTATTTTTATATTATTTTTTATTCTTTGTGGATAAATTCCGCTTTCCCGCGAAATATTGCCGCGGTCACGTTTTCTGAAAAATTTATTCTATGCGTGGACACACAAGGCATGCGACCGCACGCCTTTCCTGGGAAAGCCTGATATATATATATATTCCTATAGTTTACGGCTAAGAAAACGTGTTTGTGGTTTGTGTTTAATGGCTTTTCGCTTGTTTGTGGTATTAAAGCTGACAAAATTAAGGTTAGATTATGTCAAAACACATTAATTTAATTGCAGGAAGTAATTAAACCACAAAAACCCAAATTAAAAGACTAGAATGTTTTTAAAAACATTCTGAATGTTTTTATTTTATTTATTTATCTTTATTTTTTTTAAATAATAACATTCTGAATATTTTTATTTTCTAACTGTAAAATATGTGTGAAGTGTTGCTACATCGACTACCTTATAGCTTTACTCACAAAGAAGTGCTGCTATATCGACTGACAAATAGCCTGACTTACAACAGAGTGCTGCTACATTGACTGAGGGTTTGGTTGGGCCAGGCAGTCTATCAAATAATTAAAGAAAAAAAGTTTTGTCGATGTTTAAAATTAAAAAAAACCTAAAACTGACATTTTATAGTAAAGAGGACCATGCAAGAGTGTGTGTATATATATATATATATATATATATATATATATATATATATATATATATATATATATATATATATATATATATATATATATATATATATATATATATATATATACATATATATATATATATAACAACAACAGCAAATATTATATAAAAAAGTTAGCTAGAAACAAAGTGCAATCTAAAAAAATAACAAATTTGTTTGGTTTTAATCCTGAAAATGCTATTTCTTTAAAAGCTTCGCCTGTTTTGGCTGAAAATTCAAAAAAACTATTGACTATTCTAACAAACTATTAATTAAACAGCAAATATGACAAACTTAAAGTAGTACATCTACTTCTTCGATTCAAAATACAGAGAACCCGTTTACGTCAGATAATTTCGAAATTTCGATCAATATGGATATTACGTCTTTTAGTAAATTTTTTTTTTTGTTTGGTATTTTATATCAACTGAATTACGTGATCGCATCGACTATAATTTTTTAGAAATATAAGTTAAATACAAAAAATGTAATATAATTATAACAAAATGTTACTAAAAATTTGTTTAACGAGGAAATTAGATTTCTTTATTTTACTGCTTGCTTGCATTTAAAATGTAAACTAAATACGTATATTAAAACATAACTTTAATACTATTAATAACAAGAAAGTTTTTTTTATAACAAACTAATACGAGAAATTTAAATACAAAAAAACTAAATTCACAGCTTGCTTGATTTTAAAATGTAAAAGCAAATGTTTGAATGAACCATGTAAAAGCAAATGTTTGAATGAAAATTTTATAACATTTTATGACAATGAATGAAAAAATAATTATTAGTGTTATTTGCTGCAACAATAGAATGCAATCGCTGGCAATCAACATTTTTTTGTAATTAAACATTTGTTATTGTTTTTGGTGAGACTTGGTTTTGCTATGCCATTTATGTATAACACTAATTTTAAAATTAAACTCACAATGAATGTGAATTATGAAATTTACTAGCTCGTGTTTAATATTTTTGCAACTTTTTTTTATTTTTCTATTATTAAAACATTCCTTTTGATGACACAATCTATTACATTATAGTGTAAGGATTTGTCCACAAAGGACGTCTATTAAAATAATAATAAGTAGAAGATCATTGGCTCTCTTTCAAGGAGGCTTTCATAAATCGCTATATTACTTTAAAAACCTCTGCACACAAGAGCCATTAATCTCCAACTTCTAGCTATTAGGTAAATTCAGCGTAACAATGCTTTTTGTAGTCGATTTGTAAATAGTAAAAATTGAAGATTCCCAAATCATATTTTCTTTTTATTATAAACTCCAGGTAGATCCTGATGTTACAAAAAATGAATCATTAACTAAGAAACCAAAACTTGATTTACGTTTGAAGTCGACTGAAAAGTACGAGAGACTATTTAACGATTTTTATTTTTCGTCTGCGTTAAATAGTTGGTTTTGTAAAACGTGCACATCATTTGCCACTCATGGTGGTTCAAGGGCTTTTATTAAAAAGCCAGGAATGTTTGCAGATCATCCTGTTGAATGTTTATCTGCCCATTTATCATCGATTTGACATAAAAATGCAATAAAAAACAAACAAACATTCCAAGAGCTGAGTAAAAGAGACACAGATGTTTGGAAAATGATTCGTGAAAATAACCTTGCACAAGAAAATGTTGAACATTCAAACTAAATTTGTTCTGAAGTCTTTTTTTCACGTAACTCATTTACTTATCATAACTTTAAAGAACTAATAGAGCTTATTGCACAATGTGGGGGAAAAGATGTACAATCTCATCTACTACTCGCACCTGATAATGCTACCTATATGTCACCCAAGTATATATCTAAATATATTAATATTATATGCAACTTTGTCAAGTGTCCGCTGCTTGAGTCACTTTGAGGGAAAAATATGCATTTTATTCAGATGAGACCTCAGATATTACATCAGAACAACTACCTATTTATGCATCTTTTGAACATTGTGGTTCAGTAAAAGAACATTTTGTTGGACTGCTACCGTTAAGTAAGTTAGTTGGGACAAGCTTATCTGTCAAAAACTTATTTAAAGTTATTAAAAAATTTTTTATATCACTAGATGTTGTATTGCGCAAAACTCGTTATGCATGCATGGATACTACCAATGTGAACTCAGGAGAGAAAGGGGGTTTAAAGGCATACTTAGAAAATTCATTCCCACAACTAATTTGGGTTGGCTGTAGTAGCCACAGGTTAGCATTATGCTTTAAACATCTTCTATCTGACTTTGAACGTGTAAAGGAAGCCGATGTGTTTCTTCTCAATCTTTGGAAATTCTTTGAATATCAAACAACAGCAATGAATTTGCTGCAGGAAAGTACCAATATTCATGGTGGTATTGACAACATTGTGCCTATATGCCCAAGTATAACTCGATGGACAGCTCACCAAAGAGCCTGCTTGACTTTTTTCGGCAACTATAACAACTTTTTAATTGCCTTATGTACTTGCTTTAACGAGCGAAAAGAGGCAGAAGTCCTTGGTTTGTTTATGCAAGCTTCAAGTAAAGAAACAATACTGTCAATACTTATTTAGATTACTTAGTTAGATGTTTTTTCCGCCATTAGTCCTCTTGTACCTTCTCTGCAGTCATTACAAGAAAGTATTTGTTTGAGTGATATTCCTATATACGTTGAACAAACAGAGTTGAATTTGAATGCAAATTTAAACGGATCAGTAAGAAAATTATTTACATTAGAAAATTACAAAAACATGAAATCTACTGCCAGTGACATTTGCGCATCTCTACCTACATCAAGTCGTTTGCGCAAGGAAAAAATTTGAAAACTTTGAAAAAAGTATTTATTTGACATATAGTAACTGCATGTTTTTATTGAATTTACTGTTGATTTTTTCGATAAGTGTTGCTTGTGTAGAAAGGCTGTTTTCTAAATTAAAACTAGTAAAAAATCGACTACGCAACCAGTTGTCTCAAAGTACACTTGAAAGTCTTTTGATGATATCAACCGAAAGTTCTGAACAAGGATTCGAAGATGAGGTTTTTGAAAGTTTCGTCGAGGAGCTGAAAAAAAAAATATCCTAATACCAGAGTTAAACTATAATTAATATAATTGAAATATTTATTTTACCTCTGAGTTGTAATTAATATAAAAAACAAAACAGTGTGTCTAATAAGGCAAACTGTTTTATCTTATGCGAGAATTTATATTAGTTTTTATCTTTTTAAAAGATGTTTTATACTTGACTTCTTCACCTAGGAAAGTTAAAAAATAATAATTTAAAGTTGTTTGTTTTCACTAACATTCATTTAACATTAAAGATTATTTTAGGAGTATTTATGAAAGTATTTTTTCTTTTGTTTATAAATAAATAATGATCAAAATACGGTTGTGTTTAAGAAATGCTTTATTGATTTAAAATATTAGCTGCTTTCTCGATTTGCTTGTGTATCAAAAAATAAATTTTTATTTTTTTTTTGGCGCTGTCCAATGAATGGAAAGAAGATAAAAAATGGGGAACCATGGAAACAAATCAGGCCTCTCATTTTATTCTTCTGAAAGGCCTAAATTAAATTTTTTCTTCTGTCTTTTATTTCTTCTATTATCTTTTCATCATTATTAAACATTTGAACATATTTAAAAAAAAAATTGTTTTTGGCTTTTTCTTTTTTTAGTTCTTTTTGGTTTTTAGTTTTTTAGTTGGAACTAATCTTGTGCCTATTCATATTATTTTCTTGAAATGTTTTCTGTTAATATCTATTACTTAATGAACACTTTTTGTGGTTCTACAGAAGTGTTAGTTTTACTAGTTTCGGAAGAAAAAACATTTACAGAAAACATGCTTAAGAACATAAAAGCCATAACTGTTGTAAATCCAAAACTGGAACATAATCAACTATCTAAAAAATGTAAATCAAAAACCAAACAGCAAATTAGGGACTACATAAAATGGTTTAAGTGTGCTACTGCAAAAATGAAAGGTTTTCTGTATTGAAATTTGATTAAATTTATCTTTATATGTGCACAAACTTTTATAAACGTTACACAATAAATCTTATTATAAAATAACTTATAAATGTTAAACAAAATCTTTTAAGTAATAGAAATACTATTCAAAAAATAGCTTTATTAAATGATAACTCATATAAATGTTACAAATTATACAAAACCTTCAACATCTTTTTTAAGAATTTCTTTTATACAACGCTCTCTTTCTTCTTTGCTATTTCCACCTTCAATAACACCCAAAACAGGACTGTCAATCTAAAGCAAGTAACTTTTCTTTTAATTACTCCCCAAAAAAAGTCTAGGTTGCATCAGTTGCATAAAACTTGGGAGTTAACCTAAAGCTGCACCTTTTCCTGCATATATTTTCCTGCAAGCGTATATAAATATAAACTACAAATCAAACAGAAATCTTAACAAACCTACACAATAATATTTTGAGATTTTCAAGTAGTTTTTAAATATAGAGTACAACCACTCATCAATCACAAATAGTGTCAAACTCTATAAAAGTTAGAAATAAAAAAAACAACTTTCTTAATTTTTTGTGGTTATTTCAGTGTAAGTTTTAGTATTGAAAAATGTTTTCAAATCAAACTTTCAACTTCTGCAGATAAATAAAATGTAAAATGCATGTATAAATGTATTAACTTCTGCAAATAAATATAAAATGCATGTGAAAATGTATACTAGATAAAACCTGATAATGATAAGCTATGATAATTAAAAATATTGAATCCAACTAAGGTTTAGATTTCATATTTGTCTTAAACACATTATTAGTAAACTCTCGATTGGTTTGTAAGCATTTGATCTTCAAAAATAAACTAAAGTCATTTTTAAAAATTATTAAATAATAATTTAGTTTTTACAGCAGTTACATGTTAAAAACATTCAATTCAGACAGGGGGTAATCTGCTTCTATTTTTGGTCATATCTACTAAGGATCAAAAACTAAATTCTGCATTAACTACATCTTATTGAAAAAGTTAAAATACAAGTTACCCAAATTGTTAATTTGCAACAAGACAATTTTAATACTTACAAGATTGAGCAAGAAGCAATAATTGGATGTTTAAAAAAATTATTAGAAACTTTAACAACAGATAAAGGAAACCTGACAAAGAGAGTTCTTGATTTAGAAAATTCTAATTCTTAAGTCCATTACTGTCAGGTGATTAGGCTAATAAAGCGAAACAACTCCAGATGAAATGCAAATTACTACTATTGCAAAACTATGCTCAGTCTTTCACAGGAAGATGTATGATCGCATGTAATTATATGACCAAAAAATAATTTATTTTATTGATTTGACCACAGCTTTTGAAATATATTCAAAATTTAAAAATACGTCACAAAAACATATTTAAACTTATCTAAAAAAAAAACTTAAAAACTAAAGCAAAAACACACACGCAAAAAAAAAAAAACTCATCTAACTAAAATGCTTAGTCTATTTTTGTACTGAAAAACCATTTTATTGCCTGGTCATATAAAGACATGCGATCAAATGTCTTCCTGTATAGACTGATACTATTGCAAACAAAACCAAAGAAAGAGATAAAGAGAGAAAAAAACTTGGTTATTTTCATTTTAAAAATCAATCATGGAAATCATGCAGTTAATCATGAAAAATCGTGCAGTTAAACATGCAAATCATGCAAAATTATTTAAGATAATCAGTTAAAAAAAATTAAAATCTTTAAATTTTTAGTTTTTCAAAAATTCTAAACTCAGTTTTTATCACTAAACTTAATAGTTGTTAAATAAAAATTGTTCAATAAAAAATATTTATATTGATTTTGAAATTATGAGATAAAATCTCATTATAAAATCATATTAATACTATTATTATTATTATCATTTTTATTATTATTAAAAATTACAATTTAAATGTTGATAGTTAAATTCATTTGATAAATTATAAAATAAACCACAAGATTTGTGTTGAAATCAATCACAACAGTCTAAAGGATTTTAGAGATGATCAAATATTTTAAATAAAAGAAATACAAAATACATTCATATCTTGTTTAATTCTTAATTAATATTTTCTTATTAATTGATTATTATTGCCAATCAAATACTTTAGTTTTCTAATGCAGATATTTATATAAAATTAATAAGGAGTTTAAAAACATAAAAGCTAATTTAAACCACTTTTATTATTAAATATATTTTAAAACAAAACAAAAAAACACCAGTTAATGTAAGTATTATAAATATTAAAAGTTTTAAGAAAAAAAGTTATTAATCAAGGTCTGAAAAATATGCACCATAATTTAAAAATCCACCAAGAAAAGATTATACTAAAGCAATTTGCGCATTTTATGAAACATTAAAATTTGACCTTTGCTAAGAGGGAAGAATTACTCAAAACTTATGTTTTCTTTTAATTTTATATAAATATCTGCGTTAGAAGAAAACTTATTGTTTTTTCCATTAATTTTGCAATATGATAAATTGACTGTTCCATCAAAACGTTCATCTTCATGTTTCATGTTCACCCTTAGCAGAAATTTTTCAGATTTCACAATTTGCAATAACTTAATTTTTACCTTGAATATAATTCTTTTTAAAAAAAATTTAAGAGTTTATATCACAGAAAGATATAAACCTACAAAAGATTTTTTATAAATAAAATTAAAAAGCTCTAAAATGAAAAAAAAAATTAAAAAGCTCTAATAGGATGCATTTATCAACCACCAGACATATTTCATGAGTACAATAACTTCATTTTGCTGTCTATTAATACTACTAGAACAAGTATTTATCAGAAAGAATAAAGGAAGTGAATTGCAAAATCTGAAAATATTTCTGGTCTTCCAATTCTTAGTTTTGTCATTCTCAGTAAAAGCCGTGAACTACAATACAATACGTTGTTCTGTCAATGATTGTCCTTTTTTTAGTTACTGATAATGAATCTCAAACTAATAACTTTATTGAATGTCTCAAAGAATATTTTCTATATCAATGTGAATGCAAGCTAACATTCAAAAAAGCAAGCTATGAATTAACTAATATTCAAAACCTTATTATTAAAAACGATAAAGATTTAGCGGTTCATTGAAATTATTTTTTTCCCAATAGCAGTTCATTGAAATTATTTTTATATTTCAATGAACTGCTATTGGAAATTGATTAAATTATATCAAATAAAAAATAATGAATTATTTTAATGTCATTTTTATAATGTGGAATATTGAACTTAAAAATATATTACTCAATAAAATGCATGATTTATTTTTGAATCATTACAATTATGCAACTGAATAATTTATCCCAACAATTATTCAAAAAAGAAGGAACAAAACAAATGAATTATTCCTGAATTGAAAAATAAAATAAAAACAAAAAACAAATTATGGCTTTCTAATTAACAATGGCTGGGATGACAAATAAACCAAAACTGAATATAATAAATTATAAACTGAAATAAAAAATGATGTTAAGAACATAATAAAACAATTAGGAAGTAGTACAACTAGCAAATTCAAATCAAATCCTAAATTGCTTTAAAAGTATATCAATGAAAAGAAATCAGTGAAAACTCACATTTAAGCTATGGAAAATGAAAATGGTGAAATTATAAATTATCAATTCATTAAAGCTACTGAACTAAATAAATATTTTCATTCTGTATATGTTGATGACAATGATATAAGCATTATTGAATTAGATAAAATTCAAATTTATTATTAAACACAGTTGTAACACAAAATGATGTTCAAACTAACTTAATGCACTTGATAAGTCGAAATCAGTCAGTTGTGATTTAGGCTATCCTCCTGTTTTAAAAGATACTCCTTTAAATAACACTACCAGACATAATACTGTACTAAATAATTTGATTCATCAAATTATTTAGTACTGTAATTATCACTCCTATATTTAAAGTCCAAAAAATCAATTGAAACAGGTATGTGGAAGAAGGCAAATGTAACATGACTGTTCAAAAAAGGATAAAACTGCATGCCAGCTTTGTAAACTTGGATATCATGTAAAGTATTTGAAAAGAATAGATGTTGATTGTTAAAAAATAATTTACTTTCAACAGAACAACATGGCTTTATGAAAAGCAAGAATAGCATAACAAACCTATAAGAATACTATGATATTTTAACAGATGCATTGTTTACATGCTGATGATAATAAGGTAATTGCACCCATTACTTCTCAAAATGATTCAATTTTGATATAATTGCAATCATTACTTCTCAAAATTACAATTTTGAACTTGATGAATAGTTTACAAAAATAAGAAAGCTTATTATTAACTCTTTATTGTTTTGAAACTGAATCAACTAACTTCAAGTAATATCTACCCGCTGTCATAGATATTGCCTGGCACTCTCAACAGCGTTAATTATAATTATTATTATTTGTGTTTATTATATGTATAAGTGGCATATTTTGTAGACAGTACATTGTCCTAGAGATGCCACGAATATTCGACAACTTTTCAGTATTCAGTGTATTCGGTGTATTTGGCAACATTTTACACTATTCGGTATTTGGCCAAATAGTTTGCAATATTTGGCCGAATACTGAATACTGAAAAATGAAAATAATTGCATTAGAAATGGATTAAATTACTAATAATACAATAAACAGGTTAATCAAATAATGAATATATTATATATATAAGAATCTTAAATATATAATATATTTAATATTCGTGGCATCTCTATATAAGATTCTATAATTCACAAATTTTTTTTAATTCTACTAAGCTCGGATATTGTTTTGCATTAACTGACCACCACTTGTAAGGATCTGCTTTCCAATCTAGGTGAACAGTTTTCATAAATAAATCAATTTCATTTTCTGTTGAACTTTTCGGTTCGACATCTTCATCTGTGTGCGAGTTTTCTGTAGCAACTTCCTCAAAACAATTCCAGAAACTATTGTGTATCTCAATTGTTTTATCATTTTTTTCTTCCGAAGTGGAGATAAGTCATCATTGGTGCTACTAAACGTTTCAAAACTTTTTTTCAGAGTTTCTAAAAGAATTTTTTGCTTTGCTCTTAGTGTTTTTACTATACCCAAGAAATTAGTTTTAAAGCGTGGGTCAAAAAAAGTTGCAACCAGATATTTGTCATTCTCGTTAAAGTTAAACTGTGCTTCAAGTTCAGATTGAAGCAAAAATCTCATTGTTGATAAACTTGGTGTTCTCTGTGCTGTCTCTTCTTTTCCCAGGTATTTTAACAACGTGACAACATGTGGAATTACCTCAGAAATGCAAGAAATACCTGAGT